GCAGTAACGATATAATTGCTTCCAAATTTTTAACCAAAAAAATAAAATATTAAACATAAATATTTAACATAAAATAATTAGAATAAATATTAAATTAGTTTAAAAAATACAAGGTATGAAACAATTTAAATTAATCATGAGAAATTTTATGCTCATCATTTAATAAAATTTTAATAAAATATGTAGATTATTTAAATTATTTAAATATTTAAATTTAAATATTATTTAAATTATTTTGACAGACAGAGTAAATGTTACTTTCTAAATATACTTATTGACATTTGATTTAAATGAAATATTGCTGATGAGTTTATTATATTCTAATCTATTAAGCATAAAACGTTTTTTCTTTTTATCTTAGGAATTATCTTAGGAATTATCTGATGTCCAAGATATCTTGGAGTGTGCCTAAAAACTTCTTTAATATATCCAAGATGATTCTAAGTTGTTATATTATCTGGGAAATACAATCGTTTATAGTTAAGTTAGGCATATAATTGATTAATTTTTTTATATGTACAAGTTATTTGCTAATATATTGTATTTATTAATAAATATGTTATGATAATGTTATATGATGCGTATGCTCGCGACGAATGACTATCACGCTCGCGAGTCCCGTGCGTACCTAAGTATACGTGACACAAGTCAAAGACTAGAAGTCTTTTTACGCTGGTCGCGACGTACGCTGGGTGATCCAATTTTAGGTCAGAGAACCGAATCATTTTAACTGGGATTACGAGCGAAGAGGTCCATTTAAGGGTGATGGTTCAACGGAAGATAATTAAGCTTTTCTCTACGAGATTATTATATATATATATATATATATATATATATATATATATATATATATATATATATATTATATATTATATATATTTAATCTCGCGGAGTAAAGCCTAATTATCTTCCGTTAAACCATCACCTTTAATATATACAGGGTGTCCCATTTTAAAATGTGCACTCTGATAATTCTTCAGCCAAGTATATTTAGCAAAAATGTGCTTCAGACTAAAGTTATATGGTCCGATGAAAGACATAAGAAGGTTCCATTGGTTTGACCTTACGTGGCGCCGCCAATGTTAGGTCGAGGTTAACTTTATTTTTTTAAATATAAACATATATTTTTTATTGCGGAATTTTATTTTATGTAAAGAAACTAACAACTTTTGTTTGAAAACATTTTTAATACGACCTTTATTTCCTAATATATTTACGGAAATATCTACAAAATTATTGGTTTCAATAATTTTTTATTCGAATTCTATCAACTTTACCGAAAAATAGCGCGAGATAAAAATTGTTTATTTTTTCCTTATAGAGCTCTGAGAATTTTTTCAAAATTTTTTAATTAACTTTTTAGTATTTCAAGAAAATGCAAGAAATCGCAGTACTAAAAAGTTAATTAAAAAATTCTGGAAAAATTTTTCAGAGTTTTACGAGATAAAAATATTCTATTTTTATCTCTTGCTATTTTTCAGTAAAGTTGATAGAATTCGAGTAAAAAATTATTGAAATCAATAATTTTGTAGATATTTCCGTAAATATCTTAGAAAATAGAGGTCGTATAAAAAATGTTCTCAAACAAAAGTTGTTTATTTCTGTACGTAGAATAAAATTCTGTAATAAAAAATATATATTTCTATTTAAAAAAACAAAGTTGACCTCGAGCTGACGTTGGCGGCGCCACGCAAGATCAAACCAATAATATCTTCTTATGTCCTCCAACGAACCATATAACTTTTATTTGAAACATTTTTGCTAAATATGCTTGGCTGAAGAATTATCAGAGTGCATCTTTTAAAATGGGACATCCTGTATATATAAAAAAACAAAATTACTTTTTCAAAAAAAGTAAAAAAAGAAATCAAGTGCACGCGCGTTAGCATTATATAACAAAAATCTACTACTAAAACATAAATTATACAAAAGAAAATGTTGCTATAAAAAATTCCTACAAAAGGCATGATATCAAATATTCACGCCAAATGAGAATAATTTACAAAAAAAAGATCGTTATTAAATAAATTACAACAAAAGCTCAGCTGAAAGATATTTAAAACAATATTATTAAAACAACAAATTATTCAGCAATTAAACAACCAATTAAACAACAAAACAATTATTCAGATCAATTGTATTCTCGCAAATACTCTATTGAAAAATACAAGACAATTTTATACTCTCTACAAAAATAGAGTAAAGGTACCAAAAGCGACATACCACTTTGTTTATGTCTTAATGTAAAGCTCAAAATATAAATGTAAATATATATACATGTAGTTGGAAGTACCCCCTATTAGATAATATCATATTTTTACTGAAATTGTTTCTAGATTTAAAACAAAAAAATGTTTTTGTAAAACGCACGAAAATAGAATTCAAAGAAAATAGGTGCCAAAAGCGACATACCTAATGAAACATGTTGCATATGATAATATTTGATAATAAACAGTTCATTAATGCGTTTAATAGTTTAAGTAATGTTTATTTATTCATTTATTCAAAATATAATGTTATTTAGGTAATTATGTAGAATAAGGACTTTTCCGAATTTTGATATTTTTTTGCTGCAAACTTGATAAATATCTTTGTTGTTATTCCAACGGTGATAATCAAATGGGGGAGCCTAAAAAATATGTAAACTATCTATGTTTTTAACTATTTTTTCTAACATATATGCCTGTACGTAGAATATCGTATCCCTTAAGGTTTAAGACTGAAATTGCAACAAAGTACTGAAAAGATTAGAACATTTATTTATTAATAACAAACACTACTTTATTGGTAATATAAAAAAATAATTTTTACAAAAATAAACATTGAATTCAATTAAATATTAGGAAAAAGGGCTAATTCGAGTTCAAGCACAGGATTAATAGTGCTACGTACCATATGGGTAAAACCTTCCTTGTGTTAGGAAATAGAGCAATATTTATTGAACATGAATACTCAATAAATAATCAAACGTTTCGGCTCAATCATGAACTCTCTTTAGTGATATAAAAAAACTCAAGGTTTACAAAACAAACGTATTACAAGTAAAAGAATTAAAGACCTTAATAAAATGACATGAATGTTATTCGCAGTATTATAGCTGACAAGACCGTTATCCGACCGTTATCCGACTAATATTAAGAAGTTCAAATTAATAGTAGCAAGTAGCCGGCTAGGGACAGGCACCTTTTTTATTTTTTACCATATTTCAATAATAACAACATGGTTATATGGCGGTCGCTTATAGTTTCCGAGATATTAATAAAAAAGATGCCTGTCTCTAGCCGTGTAACTGGGGCTACGCCCCCCAAACCCCCCGCGGCGGGAGGGGGCCAAGTCTGTTGTACTTAAACTAAAGAGTGAGAATTTCTCACAAAAGTGAAAGGAAAAGTGTGTATTTTATAGAACTGTCTTGAAAAATTACGTTACATTCATACAACTTTTTTTGTTAATAACTTTTTAACAAACAACGAGCGACGGCTAAAACCTTCAGATTTTTTTAAATCATTGCGCTCGATAACGAAACCGCGGTGACAAATGAAAGAGGCATAATTCATGATATAATATTATTAATAAAATTAGGAATTATTAATATAATTACACGAAGTCCGCATAGAACGTAACAATAACGTTAACAACAACGTCAACAAAATATTTCGACTCATGTTTTTAAAATATTCCAAAAATATTTGAAAAGAGCAATGTTATATTAATTAATATTTGTAAAATAGTTATAAAACATTATTTAAAAACGATTAAAAATTATATATACATCAAGAAAATACTTCAAGAAAATACAAGAAAATGTAGTACTAAAAAGTTAATAAAAAATTCGGAAAAAATTCTTAGAGCCCGATGAGAAGAAAATAAGCAATTTTTATCTCTTGCCATTTTTCGGCAGAGTTGATAGAATTCGAGTAAAAATTTATTAAAACCAATAATTTTGTAGATATTTCTGTAAATATCTTAAAAAATAGCGGTCGTATGAAAAAAATTTTCAAACAAAAGCTGTTTGCTTCTTTACGTAGAATAAAATCCGTAATAAAAAATACATATTTTTATTTAAAAAAGCAAAGTTGACGTTGACCTGATCTTGGCGGCGCCATCCAAGGTCAAATCAATGATACCATCTTATGTACACCTCGAAACCATACAACTTTTCTTTGAAACGTTTTTTTCTAAAATGCTCTGTTTCCGAAATAAAAGGGGTGTACGGGTGGTCTCAGATACTTTGTATATATAACTCATATATAGTTTTACACAACTATATAGCATTTAATATTCCTACTTGTTTGACTGTGGTTTGTATGTCATTAAAATAATATATTTATATGTAAATTATCATTTTTTAAATATTCTATTATTTCGAAGAAAACCATGTTATTGAATGAAAAAGTATTATCATTTAAAATAGAATTTTTCAAAAGTTTTTGAGATTTTGATAATTTTAGATTTTAATTTTAAGTAATTTGTCTTAAACTATTTACATTAATCTTAATCTGTTTGCATTAATCATAATAATATTTCGTTAAAAGTCTAAAAGCAATAATGAAACTAGTTTGCTAATATACTTTGTCAATATTCGTTACATATCTAATGTTGTTTCGTCATTTCAATGTTTACTAGTAAATATATTATAATGTTCTGTGAATACTATAAGAATATATTATATAAGCACAAGTCCAAAGAACGTTCTTAGAGCCTTTGAGATCACTTCATGCCGCTCGATCGTTAAATTAACGAACACTTAGCGTGATCAGAACATGGATGAGTGACCACTTTGGATAAAAAAGACATTTTTTAGCGGTTAGGTTCACTTAAAGTAACCTTTATAGTATACTATAAAAATAAAATTTTGTTCGAAATCACAACAAGTTTACTAAAGTAACTTCCTTGGTAAACTTTGTAGTTTATTTTGAGTTTTTCAAATTATTATCATATTTGTTATCATATAGATAGAAAGAATTAAGATACTTGCGCTAAGATATTTGTTTCCGTTTTAGTTTCAGATGGAGAATCAAGGTTACGAGGAGGAGCAATCGCGCGTAGAAGAAAAGCAGTCCACATCCGAGTCTCATTACTGCGATCGAAAGCTTCACATGGACACGGTCGACGGTGATTCTTTATTCACCAAAATCACGACGCATCCCGAGAGTCACGTGTACGAAGACATCTCCACCACGGAGAGTTCTTTCAAAATTTCCGAGCGAGCATCCTTTCCTGACGAGACTCAGAACATCCGAGAAACTCAGAATTGCCGATCGACCGATTTCACCAAGCAAGCTTGGACTAACGAAACATCAATCACGTCTCCCGTGATCGAAAAATCTTTCCAACAGAATTCGACGTTATCTTCCTCAACTGGAATTAGTGCAAATCGCGACAGCGTGAACTCCTTCGAGCGAGCGGTGTCCAGAACAATCGGAGATGACACCGAGATATCCTGCAGAAATCGTTGTGATCTCTCAGGAAACCTGCACAAGAACGTTGAAGCGAACGTATCCTCGTTATCTCGGCAAAACGAAAATTCGTCACGAGAGACAACAGAGCAACCCGATCGCAGACCAAATCGCAGGCGCAAGAAAAAGGATTGCAAACAGTGCAAGAGCAAATTGGCTAATACGAATTCTTGTGAGAAGCTTGATGAGTTGGCCGCTAGTAAGGACACGATCTTGAGAGAGAACAAAAGCAATCATCGGGACAAAGATCCAGACGCGCCTAATTTCCTGTTTCGTGATTCAATCCTGAGATCGCAAAACATCAAGATTTATCCGATTTTGAATAGGACGAGTCTACGAGATCTTGGTACCAGAAGAAGCTGCTCTGTTCCCATGTGTGAGAATGGGCCGCGTTTGACAGAAGGTGCGGTCAATCTTTTGGCAAATGCGCGAAACAATAAAATGCTGGACCAAACGGGAAGTAATCAAAATAAGTTGCTAGACGTTCCAAACAACGAAACCGATATGAGGGTTAATTCGATCTACTCGCAGGGTCGCTGGTACGGCAAGGACATGCCAATCTTTTACACTAATCTCAAGGATCAAAATCCTTTTCAGGTAAGATGTTCGTTCGTCTTAGATAAACTCTTATTTCTTTATCTGCTTCTTTTTTATGATTAAAAGTAAAAATATTCATTAATTTTAATTCTAATTTGTCTATTAAATTTAAATTATTATTAAATTAATTACATTCTTATATCCTGAATCATTTATCTAATTCATTTATTCCATATTTTCTTTACTCTTCAGTCACTATTTTTTTTCGATAATTGTATAAAAATATTAGTTCTAGATTTTACATCTTTAGTTGGAAATATGAATATAGAAAAAATACATAAAAATATTTAAAATATATAAAATATATAAAAATATTTAAATTCACATAAAAATAATAGGAAGAGATAGGGATAAATTAAAAGATAGAAAATTTTCAGAGAAAATCTGAATATACTATATTATTATAAAGAGTATAAAATACTCTCTCTCTCTCTCTCTCTCTCTCTCTATATATATATATATATATATATATATATATATATATATATA